AGTTACTACGTCGAGTGCTGTGGTTATAAACATCGGAGTTTGCTGAAAATATATTCGCTCCCTTAAGTCATTTGTGACAAAAACCACTGAAGCATATAACAAGAGGTAAAATATCTAGATTTATAAAGAAAGGTTTACGCGAATCACTGGGGTGGGATTTACTTATTATTTGTACAATTATTTTTTTGTAATCTAAGTCTGGGAGTTATAACATGTATTTCCCCATAATAGTATGCCGTATCTCAGGCGAGAATGAACATTAGCCAAATATACTCAACGAGCAGTATGGAAGCTGACTGAATTGGATGGAATTCTGAAAACCTAGCATAAAGGACTTAATTTAGTGTTCATTTCATTTAAATGGACATTCCATTTAAGGGTAGACTGAATTGTTTCAAACTACAATCGCGACAGTGGCGAAATTGCGGAATAACAAGAGCAAGAATACCTGACAGTCACTTCAACGGGGCTATAATATCTTACTTTTTTTCAAACTTGTAACGTCTACATAGACGAACGCGTCTCCAAGCCCTGTGGGGGCGTTGAGCGCTTTGCGATTGGAGTAATCCTTCACTAATGTAGCGCGCGTATTAGGAATAATCCTCCATTATTAGTATTTCATGTCAAGTCTCGTCGAATTCAGTTGTCAAGAGGACCGCCAGGTAGCATCTCCGCGTACGCGCCTCCTACCACGCGTTCCTGCGTCACTATCCAGCGGCCAGAATTTATTTATTTATTTACGTCAAAAACAGTTAAAACTGTGTGTGACGTGCTATGGGGAAAAGTTAATATGAAGTTACATTTATGTTCAGAAGCAAAACAAGGGGCCATCTCAGCATTTGCTCAAGAATCAGAGAAACGGGTCGCAAATCTGATCGAGATGGGGATCATTGATCCAGAAGCTGAAGGAAGGAAATAGGATAGGGCTAAGGTTTAGGTCACTTCACCGAGGTTAGCCTCTGGGGAGCGGTCAAACTCACATGAGGTTCTACGGGAATCGAACCCGGAACTTCAATGGTGAAAGGTAGGTGACTTCGCCACTCAACCTCGAGAGCCTTGACTTCACGAGTTCTAACGATTACTGGCAAATATAATAAACATCGAGCATAAAATGAACCTTTAACGTGCACGAAGTATACAAATACGACGTTATATATACAGATACAATATTCTGGGTGGGGGTATTTTGTGCTCCCCTACGCCTCCCCGGGGCTACTTACCTGGACTGTAGCGCCAGCTGATAATGCCTCCGATGTTAGTTCAGTGATTGCAGTTACGAGTTTAGAAATAGTGTTGGAAGTGATTTGTTACGTTCCTACACCACTTCAAAAAAATGTTAGAATTTATGCTAATAATTTCGAAAATAATGTTATAATATGAAAATGTGAGATATTCAAAGAAGTGGTTCTCCAACAGCATGCAATTTCTCGCACTTGATAACGGTTACGTAATATTGTAATACCGCAATTTCTGTTCACATTAACACATCTCAGTAATCATTTGGACTCATTGTAAATCGTTAAACATTAGATGTGTAACCTACTTCTTTTAAATTTTATATATCAACACGAATTTCCTTCCATTCATTCCTTCCTTCCATTACGCCCTGAGGAAGGTGGCAGAATGGCGATCGAAACGTGGGCACCTTCTCCATGGACGCGGCGTCATCCGGCCAGCCAAGTAAATACTAAAATCAATATATTTGTGGAGATATTGGTTGGAAATAAAATAAAATGTATAATGAAAATCCATTTTCATCTCAGTTTACATTACCTATATAAAAAAAATAAAACTCGTATTTTCGCCTTTTTAGAGATTGTTACGTGCCTATTTGGGCAAATTTTAGAACATAAAAACTTGGTCTATTTATGTGTAAATTATGCCAAACTGTCCATTTCTTAGCGAATCATACATAATGTAGAGGGGATTTTGTTCATCATGCACAACGTTTCGGTGCGCCTTATCTTAAGAATTTGCATAATGTATTCTGCCTCTCCGAACCCTTATCAGTCTTTCTTTCGTTCTCCGTGCCTCCCGAGTCATTTGAGACCTCCCAGGCAGATGCGAAGCTGTTACTCAATGCAGGTGCTTCCGCTGCTGAGATCGGGCCAGGCGAATAGTCGGCCACAGTAGACACGTAAGTTTTGGACAGGGAAGGGATTTGCAGCAAAATAATTTCTTATTTTAAAATGTTGATCTTAAAGAGAATTATCTCACGCTCACGCCAATGTAGTTAAGAGCAGTAACAAGATACGGCATTCATCCTCAGCAAGCCGCCGCCCAATCGAATATCTTCATCTTGGTAAAAGTGTGGATTATCTTGTTCCTAAATAGTACATGCTGTTGATATTTATGAAGGGCTGAGTCAATAAGAAACATACTTCCACCAATATCGATAAACTAACATTTTCGAGTAGCGGGAAGCTTGTTGCATATACATTTTGGTGATTCAAGTACATAATCAAGAATTTAGGTCCAAAGCAATGAGCCATCTAAATAACGACATTTCCTTATCTGTGAAAATACCACACAGAGAGTATATAATACTACAGTGGACGTTGAAGTTGTTAAAGCAAATTTTTGGTTTAGATTTTAGCATCGCTAGTACATCATTGTAGTGATGACACACCGCTACAAAACTGCATTCTTCGGATTAATTTATAACATTATATCAAACGTTTTCGGGTGCAGTTATTAAAATTTTAATTTTATATTTTAACTAATTTATATTAATTAATTTATTTATATTTTATAAGTTTAATTAATTTGTACTTATGTTAATTTAGTATTATATTTTAATTAATTTTATATTTTTATATTACAAGATGCTGCTATGTTATATAAAACTAGCTTATCGTGGAGCTTCCGGCGTGTATTATCATATTTAAAAATTTAATTTGGGCTTTGCAAATTCATACTCAACGTAAATTGTTAACGTATTACTGGTGCCCGACTTCTCCATTTCTTAGTATAGAAACTTACACGAAAAGTATTTAATTAAGTACTTAATTATATTTTTGGTTATTACAAAATTGGATTTAATTATTTAATCTGATAAACCAAGTCGTAACGATTCACATACATGTCGGTAAGAGGGTACAATAATTTACAGCATTTCAGTGATGTATTCATAAGTGCATTGAAACCATTAAAAACAAGTGTTTTTGTTTTTTTTTAGATTTTTTCTGAATATCGTAGAGGGAACCGGCTACGAATTGTGCCAATACTTCTTGTCGAGAGGAATCAAACTAGATATTGATCACTACGAAGGTGTGGTAAGTACCCAAAAAACGCTTCTTCGATATATATATATATATATATATATATATATATATATATATATATATATATATATATACATACACATATACATATACATATACATATACATCAGCCATCACATGAAAACGTTCAAAATCAAACGATGCGCCGCGGTGCATATCTGTTATTATTTCGATACTCAGGAAAGTAGCACTTTCGTACTTCTACAAAAGAAACAAACATAAATAAATCCCAACTTCTACAATATTTGCAACTCATTATACAGACAAGTATTATACAACAACATTATACAAAGAAGGATAATTTCACATATAAATTAAACCTCGAGAATTGAAGGCCATTTAATATACCGCGTGAATATGAATGCGCTCGAAGGACGAAACTGCAGGGTCAGTACGTAATGTTCATCATATTCATATATATTATGGCATAAAATAAAAAGGTGGTACACTTATAAAGTCCGAATTTCACTGTAAACATGAAATTTTCACAAATTGCAAAAGTTTGGATTGTTTTTACCGTCCTCCTACCGCGACAAAACGTTCGATTTTTCGAGAAACTTCATCAGAAATCATTTGAAGCACTTGTACTCCAAATTTCCAAGCCCGGGAAAATGCAATTGTCGCAAGGCATTTGCACGTTTTCTAAAATTTTGAGTCTCGCATTGGGGAAGGTACGCGTATGTTCAGCGTTAATAATGTCAGGTCCTCGAGCTTTCTTTAGCCGACGACTACTGATTGTTTTGATACGTCCCTTCACTGTCTGTATTCTCCAGTGGTTCGTTTTTGCTGGTCACATAATCTGCTTTGGCTTCGCAACGGGGTTCTGCCTGAGAAGACGCGTTTATCCTCAGGAGGGTTATCAGTTAGTACTCTTCTTAAAGAATCTCCGTTGCTTGATCCGAGGTTGTTACGTCATTCTTCGAAGTGGGGACATTATTTGCAGGGTACGGAGGCAGCAACTAGCAAGCTGATAACGACCCCCCCCCCCCCACGGATCGCGTTCGGCAGCTTGTTTCATCAGATTTTCCCAGACTTCTTTGCTCTTTCTAAAGATTAAATGGTATTTATTCTTAGTTTATTATCATATCTTTCATTGACAGATGTGTAAATTTCGTTTCTTCCGCCATTGCAATGTTTTCCTTGGGTTGACTAGGTATTGATTGGCTTGGTTAAGGTGTGTTGTCCACCAGGGAAGGTGCAAGAAGTATTGTTGCGTCTGCTGCTGCTTTTAAGATGTCTGTCGTTTCCGCAAGATTGGTGTGTGGGTCTTGGTCATATATTGATAGTGATTCATTGCCATTTTGTTGAAATTGTGTTTTGAACGTACCCCAACCAGCTCTTTTTAAAATATACCGCCAGACACTTTCTGTACTAGCATAGCTCGGGCGTATAGTCTTAGTATATACTGTTACATCATTATGATCGTTTGTGCAATCCGGCAAACAAACCGACAGAGACAGGCTCATAGTCGGACGGAAGAGACGGATTTTTTTTTAAATTTGTGGTGCTAAAACAGCACAAACTTAATCGCGCTCTTTGGATTTTGCAATTTTAGAAAATTCATCGAGATTTCCCGAAAACGAGACCGGTTTTTTAAGCGTACTTTACTATATCCCAGAAAATAAAAAGTTAAAATTATTGCCTTTCTTAGGCTTATGAAATGTGTTTCGTTTCTGAGCACGAATACGACTAATGAATTTTTTTTTTCTTTTTCAGAGAGAGTTCTTGCCGGGTGCGGCACTCCGGGCGAAGTCCCCAGCTCATCACCACGAGCCGGACTGCTAGGAATTCGTTCTTGAATGAAAGTTAAGTGAGGCGTGTCCGTGCTTCGTTTGAAGATGGGGCAAACCACTTCCAGCATTCCTAAGACTAGTCTTCCTGATGGGGACGGGTCACAGCCGAGCGGAAGCAAAGTCCAGCGCGAGAAAGGACCCGAGCACGAAGCAAAAGCGCCGATCGCAGACCACACCCATCGGGACTTGCGCCGCTTCTACAAGGTGACGCTCGCGGAGGTGTTCGGGCAGCGGGAGCGAGAGCAGCGGATGCCCGACGGGAGCGACTGCCTGCGGTGCCTGCTGGCGAAGCGAGGCTCCGCGTTCATCACGGGCCGCTCCGTCTGCACGGCCACATTGCCGGTGCCGGAAGGGCACACCACCGTCTGCGAAGACGATTTGGACGCTTCCGGGAACGGACACACCCTGCAGGAGCTTCCGGACTCAGTGTGGGGGTTTGCGGAGACGATGGCGCTGTCCACGGCGGTCGGCGCCACCGTGGACGCGCGGATCAACCTGGCGAACGACCCGCCGGCCGCGCGGGTCGTCGGGAGGCGAATGGACCGGGAGCCGCCGCTGCGCGCGACGGCGCACCGCTGCGTGGCGATCCCGCGCCCCGAGCAGGTGATGCGCGTGGGGGTGAGGTACCGCCTCCGGGGCGACGGGCTCCGGGAGGCCCAGCAGCGACACGCCGTCGTGTACGCGGCGCCCGGCTTCGGCAAGACCACGCTGCAGCACCGCCTGGCCGGCCGGGGCGTCGTCGTGGCCGACACCGACGACGTGCCCGCCGCCACCAGGCAGCACGTGAGGCAGCTGCTGGAGTGGACGTCGGTGCTGACGAACCGGCTGGACCTGCTCGACCCCGAGTTCCCGACGGTCGCCTTCGTCCCGGCCGACGCTCGAGTGTTGGGCAGACGAGGGGTCGTCCAGCAACTGACCGACGAGGACCTGGACTATTGGTGCGACTTGCACCTCTTTCCGAACCATCGGAGGATTGTGAAGTTCGTCGTGGTTCGCAGCTGTCTCACCGATTGGATGTGCGTTGACAAATGGCCGAAACCTCCCGACTGTCGAATTGGAGCTGCGTTCGAAGAGGAATTTCTCCAGAAGATCAGGGACTTGGGAGGGATGACTCAGTGACCTCGACTTGAGTCTTCGAGTGGGAGCAGCAGGCAAGAGAATGGCATGCTGGTGGACTGTGAAATCACTGTCCTCTATTACTCTATTTCCTCTTTGTAGGATGCAAAAGCTCCTTTTTGGGGACGAAATCCTTATGTCAGATAGATTTCCATGGTGTGCTTTTAAGTTCGACAAACTATTCATTTTTGTTTTGAATCTAAACATTTTTTTTTTTTGTGGAAAAACAATGAAAACATGGAATTGAATTATTTGTAAGTATAAAATACAAATATATACAATAGTAAACTGATTTTGTAAGTTCAAAATGGCATTTTAATTTAATATACTATGTGTTTGAATTATATATGCGCTAAATACCATCACACATAATCCATCACATTAGATCATCCACAATACTATCTACATGATCTTATTTGCATGGCCACACTCAGAGCTCATCTGAGATGACGCATGGAAGTAAAATTAAATTATTTACGATTAATAAGAAAGTGAATTATAATAATGAACAGATCTAAAATTATACATCAGTATAAAAATTTGTTTCTGATTTGATTTATTTTGTCAAAGACTAGTCAAAACTAAATGTTACGTATGGGGTAGAAGTACCATCTGCGCATGTTTTCTTGGGCTCCAGAATATATTCCCCGTCTTTTAACCATAACTTGTTGAATGATGAATAAAAGTTGCAACAAAGCGGGGATAGCAACAGTTTCACTCCCGAGTCATAGAAGACTTGTTTGCATCGGGTAAACAACAGAAATATTTTTTATTATTGCTAACAAAATAGTAACACGTATCCCCCACTCTATTCATACCACAACTAGCGAAAGGACAGCTAAACAAAACGGAAAGTGAAACTACATTTAAGCCCAGGAGAAAAACAAGGGGCCATCTCAGCATTTGCCCAATACATCAGGGAAATTGAACACAAATACATATATGTTATAGTATATTACTTGTTATAGACAGACTTGTTGAATACTTATATATACTTGTTATACATTACTTGTTTGAAATTATATAATACAAATGTAAACTAATGCATTATATATCATTGTGACAATAAATATTATTTTCCTTGTAGTCTCTAACTGTATAGAAATAGTATGTTGCATAAAAGATGGAATGTCCCTTTCAGTAAAGAGGTGTTTCTGTCAAACAAATTCAAGTGCCCGCTCAACATGTATATACCTTTATTCTAAATATCACACTAAGTATATTCTGTAAGTAGTTATTATATTATTTTTTTATTTATTATATATTATTGATATTATAATTATTTGAAAAAATATATATATATAGTAAATAGGGCCATATGAATGGTCTTATGTATTATTTTGAAATGTGAAAGGCTCGGACGTGAAGGATGATTATAACCTTAAAAATTGTAGTTCTGTCAATGTAAAGTTTTGTCTCCTAGCATCTGCTTGACCATGCAATGTGGAAGTTCTTAGGTAGCCCCCGATTGTCATTTAATGCAACTCATTTGAAACCCCTGAAACTAAAATGTTCACTTGTTTTTATATTGAAAGTATTTCCGTGTTGGTTTTCATGTTTAACACACCAACTCTTCATATACTATTCACAAGAACCATTTGTAGTTGGCACCAGAAGATTTGTCCACTTTTTCGTTACCAGGGCCCGGCAATAAGAGTGTTTTCCGTCGAAAATTCGCCATTTGTTCCCGCAGCATTACAATACTTTCTCTATTCTGCGTAAGCACTTGCGAAAAAATAAAAAGTCATACTTTAAAAAAGGTCAAGTCCTTTGTTTTTAAACTATAATTTACGATAGTTCAGCGTAATTTTGCATTTTCGAATTTGAAAATTCGAATATTCGGCGCAATGTAAGAATGACACTCTGCGGCGCAGGACGTTTTAGACGTTATAGATGGATGTTTTGAGAATTCTTTCTCATTGTTAAAATTCGAATTTACGCTGAACTATCGTAAATTATTGTTCAAAAACAAAGGACTTGATTTTTTTAAAGTATGTACTTCACCTTTTATGTTTTCGCAACTGCTTACGCAGAATAGAGAAACTATTGTAATGCTGCGGGACGTAAAAGCTGTAAGAAACATAGTTGGAATTGTCGAATTAGTGTTGATATATTAGCTTTAAAAGTTTTCACACCTATGTTCTATGATTTGTAAGGAGAAGAGAGAGAATTTCCGTTCCAATGCATCTTTTTATTTAAGCTTCTTTGAGATTCCAAACTTTGTAATTTTTTTTTGACAAGTCCTTTTAAAAATGCATACTTTTTCCGTACACGTTTGCGTATTTTGATAGTTTTTTTGAGAAATAAATGCAAAATGCGTGTTTGGACATTTTGTCAACCCTACATATGTAGACTTTTATCCAGTGGCGGCCCGACAGATTGGAGGTTGCACCTCCATCGAGTGACAGAAATGTAATTTCCCTAATTCATAACACTGATAGATAATAGAAATGCTGCAATGCACTTAATGCATTATGCTTAGCATTAAGTTACGTTTTGTACCAAAGCGCTCGCCGGATGATCTCTTAAGGGACTTAAGCCGGCTTAAGGAAACCAAAGAAAAATGGCGGAAAGTTTATGTGCAATTGCATTCGGTTACAAGCACGTTTTTGAATATAGAATTTCTCCCCCTTTGCAAACTAGATGGATTCGAGAGAGGGCAAACTTCTTCGGAGACAACGAAGAATTGATTTTCGAACTTGCTTTCGAAGAGATTGTTATTATTGGTGTTGGAGCAGATCAAAGAAAAACTATAATTTACATCTGACACATATGAAGTGTAGCCTAGTTGTACTACGTAGCGGAGAACTGAAAGATTACACCTTTAATAAACAGTATTTCTCACGGTATATCTTGTAATAGTAAAAAGATACCATTTGTAACTTAGGTTACGATAGGGTTGTATCAGTATAGTATTTTAATTTTAAATACAGTACGAATTTGAGCATGACGAAATTTTTGTCATAATCCTGTTAATTTGATGTTTAGCAGTAACTTACATCCCAAATTGCATGTTACATCCAATATGTTATTTATGAATTCAATACGTCCGTAACAATTACGAAAAAATTAGACTTTGCTCAAAACTGTGGGACTATTTTATTTCATTTGCCAAAGTTTCAATTCATTATCCAATTTTCAGTACTAATTGTGCAATTAGCTATTTTGTAATGTAATATGATTATTCTTTTTTTAAATAATAAATTTATGACATTCGTTTCAACAAAACAATGTTATTGTTTGTACTGCGTAACACAAAATTAATAACAATCGTAAAATAGTTTGTTAGAATAAACAACGAATAAAAGTAAGAAATTCACACACTATCAGCAAACTGTAAGGACTGAACCAAATGTTATTGGTCCACGAAATAGTATAAAGAACTTCAAAGCTTGGAGACAACTGTGCCAAAGAACGTTGATGTGTTTTCTTTGTAGCGTTGCCAACATTAGCGAAAGACGCACGAAACCCGTTTAGCTAAGCCGCGCCGCTAGATCGCCTCGAGGGGACTGGGGAAACGCGTTTGCCGAAAGCTCACTTTAACTTAGTACTTAAATTTTGAGCCAGCTTAACAAAGAAGCGCTTAACGAAATAAATAAATAAAATGTTAAATATGTGTTTAAAAAATGAAAATGTAACTCTAGTGTAGTCATTAAAAATTGTTGAAGGCATTAAAACGTTTTAGAATTAGTGGTTGGAGCCAATGAGAAAGACTGCCAAGGATAAATTATATAATGCGTTAAATTCGAAAGCTGATTTGAAATTTCCCCAAAATGGATGTAAATAATGTTAAAAATATCATGTAATGTAATATAATGTAAAAATCATTGTCGTTAAAAATCAGAAAATGACCTCAGAATTTTATCACATTTTATCTTTGAAGTTTGCTCCAGTTCCGTCGTGACATAGAACGCAATTTCTGCATTCAGAAAGATTCGTTTCTGACAAAAAAACTAATTTGACAGAGTAAAATTTAGAAAAAAGGTTAATTGTTCACTATTACAAAAGGCAATAAAACAAAAAATGTAGACAACCACATTTTGATTTTGTGAGATTTGTCAATTTGTACCATGTATAGTACACGTTTGACTGTTTGTGCTTGTTTGCATACATATTTTAGCATTTGATAGTGCGTGGAAATGCTTTCTATAGGAATGGGATTTACGAGTTATGTCTGAGATATGTTAATATGAAAGGAAATTGCGGCATTATAATTTTACAGTTACTAAGTGAAAAAAAGCAGTTGAAGCACATTAGTCTAGAAGAGATTCCTTTTAGCATAAAAATCTATATTATCAATATCGTACTTTTGCTATGTTAATTTTTACAGTTGTCGAAGATACAAAGATATAATCGAAAATGGTATCACCACCATTTTCTATTCCGTTCTCGGATGCATATAAGGGAAGAAAATTAAAGAAAAGATTTGGAGTCGGTTTTTTTGTTTGTTTGTTTGTTTTTAGGATAAAATTATAGTTTAATAATTGCCTATATTTCACTAAAAAACTACTCATATTTTCGAAAAATTATATCTAACCCAACCAAGTATTAAGATGTTTTTGAAGAACAGATTTCATTAAAGGAAAAATCTATCTTAAATATTGTAATTATAGGAAGACAAGAAAATTTTTGAGAGAGAAAAATCGTGGAAGAAATGAGAAAGATGTAATTACATCCATTTTGTCTTTGATAATCGATTTATTCAATGAAATACAATTTTTATAGGTAAGGTCCAAATTGCCAAAAAAGAATACTGAATAGTTGTATAGTATAATGTATTGTGGACATGGTTTTGGCAAGAAAATCAAATTTGCCTGGATGCTTTCACAAGGATTTGTCTTATGCGGCAGCCCGGTCCTGCCTAAAGTCGTTTTGTGCTATTTTCGAAACAGTAATAAAAAAATGTTAGTGTAGTTTATTAGAATGATTGTTATTGTTAGTAAATGTCAATGCGTGTTATTAAGTAAATTAGTTTTGATGTGGATTTGTATACCTTGTCCGTGTTGTTTTAGACATGCTTTGTAATGCATTACAATAGCGTAAAAATAAAAATAATATAATTGTGTAATCTAATGAATTATACAAGTATACTGCACGCGCTGCAAGTCCGCCAGGAAATCTGGTGAAAACTTTCACCACTACGATCGTCTCTATGGGAGAATTGTAGCCTGCATTACTGTATAAGTAGGGTTCTAGGTCTGTCATTTCACACGCACTGCCTACTGTACTCATATGCTCTGTCGATGTGGTCGTTTGTTATATATGTCCTCGAGTATGTGTCAATAAAAATTATCTCTGCAGGCTCCACAAATTCATAGTGTTCCTTCAATTTCCATTCGTGTATATATTTTATAGGAGATAAAAAAAAAGAAAAAATCAAAAACTATATACTTACATTGTGCATTGCACTGTGATCAGTGTGGAACAAGAAAATAAAATTTTGCTGAATAGATTTAATTTCACAAGGATTTGTCCTACGCGCTGATTATGCGCAAGCCAGGTTCTTAATTACATGCTATTATTTAATTTTAGAAAGAAAAAGGTTAGTGTAATTTATTAGAACAAATAATATTCTTAAAGTTGGTAAAGACCGATAAGTAGTTGAGATTTTATCAAAGTTGTGAACCTCGATGTATTTTATAATGCTTTTGATACTCAGAGTAATGAATTATAATTTTTTTCTGGGTAATGTTGAAAGTGAGTAAAAAGAAAATAATATAGTAGTTAAGAATAACGTATAGTGATCTATGTTGTGCAAAGAAAATAAATTTCACTGTGAATTGTTGCAGTCACAATGATTTTCCTTATGATGCGCAAGACTAGATCTGCCATAAGAAGTGACGTTCAATATTCGAAAAAAGGTAGGAG